CATGTCAATATGAAAATTTTAAGTCGTGCATCAGCCTTTCTACACAGAAATAAAATGATTTTATCTCACAAAAATTAAATGAAATTTTTTTGCTCAACTTGCAGCATTTCGCGAATCACGTGAAAACTTAAGATTCTTGTAATGTTTATAGATTTCAATACTTTAATTTGTACGTTATAAAGCATGAAAAAATTTGTACCCCAAACCTATAAATAAATATATAAATAAGGCATGAGAAAATAAGGTTTTAAAATAAAAAAAAATTGAAAACTTATATCTTTACTACTAAGGCATCCTCTGAATTAAAGTGCCGTGTAGGGCAGCGATGCACGTTAAATCTGTCGAGAGCTGAAACGTCCTCCCGTTGATGTAGTGTGGTAATTAGGAGAGGGTGGTGCCAGCTCAGGTGTCGTCCACGTCACTTGACCATGGTTCAAAATTACGTGGTCCGTCACCAAAAGCCCTCGTGTGACGTTAGTATTCAATCAATCAATCTGAATTAAAGTTTCCTATTCGTTTTGTGCTTTGTATGATTTTTTAAAATCTTGAATATATTCATTATATTTATCATGAATTCAACAAATATTCATATCATAACCACGAAATGTAATTTAATATATATATTTAAACTAAAATTCTGTTCAAAAACTATTTCAATTCTCTTCTATTCTCCATTGGTGAATTGGGCAAACCATGTACCCTCCAGTGGATCCCGGCCCGTGTTGACATCGAAGGGAACGAGATGGCTGATTCCCTTGCCAATGAAGCCAGAACACGTGAGCCTATAACTTCATCTACTCGGAGAGTAGCCTTTGTTGCTCCAAATCCCATGTAAAGATATTAACTATAACTGTAACTTCATCTACTACGGTCTTTGATGCTAACGTACTCGTAAAACAAAAGCTCTGCTCAAACCCAAGAAAAAAATTTCGCTGCCAGAATTAAATATAGCCGAGAAATTACGACAACAATAACTAGACTAAGGACAAAGCATTTTAAGGGCATGAAAATTCTGCCCGATGGTTCCAGATCATATGTGGAATGCAGGCACTGTCCAGGCACGCAACTGGATTCCAAACTCCTTTTTAGCTGTCCTTCCATTATTGGTGCCCTTTTTAAAATAGACAATGACTGCAGCATATGGACATTCTATACTCGGATCGTGCCACGGCAGTTATTCACGCCTTTGACAATATTTGACTATATCTATGTTTTTTCTTATTAGCACATTTGCTCTTTGTCATACACGACAACACAACAACATTTAATTTAAAATAAATTCAAAGCTCTGGAAGTTTATATAATAATAAATAAAACAACTCAAACTTGTATTGAAGCGATTTTGTATCGAAAAAGATTTATGGTTTTATGTAAATGGCAACAATGCGAAATAAAAAAGAGATTTAGGATGTCGAGTTTTGTGTGGGGTTGTGAATTATTTTAGCTAATTTGTTTTATTATAAACTGGTCGAAACAATATTCTTTTTATAAACTTGTAGACCTGTTTTGCCTTTAGTCCTTGATAGGCATTCTGTCTCTTAATCGCAATCCCTATTTGAAAGAGTCTTCTCTATTTGTGACCGAATTCCATTCCGACAGTTGGCAAATCTGATTTATATTCTATGACTTTATTTTAATTTAAAATGATTATTGAAATTCTACATGAAACATAAGAATTTAATCTATATATGTTTAATAATTGCACTTAATGCGGCGATATATTATACATAGTCTGTCATATTGTATCAGTTCTGGGATTTTTTTATACTACCATTGCAGTTATTTTTTTTTCTTTATATACTGTTTTCATTCATTTATAGTTTATGGTAGTCAGTGACATGAGTCGAGGAGAAGTTGTAGTACATAGGTGTGTCTTGTATTTAAATTAGTGTTCAGTGGCAACATAAAGCAAATCAGCTTGAGTTTAGCAGACTTAATCTCGTCATCTTAACCTCACCCGTTTCAACAGCAAATTAACCATTTGATGGCCAGCTTTCCCTCGCCAGTGAGCGCGTACGTGAACAAAGTTCCAAATAATACCCGAAAGGATCTTCTCGAAGATAGAGACGAGATTTACGTTCAATTAAATTTCAGTTCAATGATCCAATCTGTAGCAACTCATTAATGCATGGAAATCGGAAGACGATGCTGTGTGTGAATCTGGAGTGTTCACTTTCGTTTCGACAAAAAAGAGGGTCACGAGCAATCGTGATGAGCCCGCTAATGAGATTAATGAGAATGAGTGATTAATAGTCGCATTCAGTCGCGTTCTATCAAAACGAGTATCAAAGAGAGTTTTCATTTCCCATCTATAATGCATCTCAGATGATAGGCAAAATTCACCAGAACAAAATTTACGATTAGTTCCTGTTCCATTTGGCAGATAAAAGCTAGATTGCAATACGATGGCAAAATTAAGTAAGTGAGATGTTTATTAGACTCGTTTAAAGTTCATATTAGTTTTAAGGCTCCACTCTGTTCGCCATCTTGAATTCAAGAAAACGTGATTAATCCTTATGCAGCATCCTAACAGCATCTCCTAGATTTCTATTTTAAAAAAAATGATAAGTGGTAATTTTCTTGCCACAATACAAAAACAAAAACAAAAAAAAAATTCAAAGTAAAAACCATTAGCAGATATTTATCAAAACAAAACAACAAGAATCTAAGATGTTATATATATTTAATATAAAATTAAGCGGTACTTATATACGTATTATCGCAACCTATTGGCGATATTATATGAAACAAAACACCTAGTTGCCAATTCAGAGTGTACGACACATAGGAAATCAGGGTTACAAACTTGGCGAGTTATTAATAGAGTTGGCGATTGTTGCGATGATACGTAAGTACCAATTTTAAGCTATTAAGACAACACTAACCCAGGAAAAAGAAATTAATATAAGTAAAAAGAATGTTTTACCACTCAGACCATTTTTGGGCAATTACATGTACATACCAAGTTCTCTTTCTACACGATATTGATTAAACATGAATTAGCAGGGAAAAAAGTATTAATTCTTTTAACGTGACTTATTTTGATTTAACACGATCGACCCAAATTCTAAGGGGGGAAATACTATGCTTTATTTTTAAAACTGGAGACGAGAAGTGCAATGCCTATCATGCAATTCCCCGAATTTTATAACCTCAGTATAGAATGTTGGCTGTTTTACGGATATCAAGATATCGAGCTCAAGATACCAAACACTACAGTTAAGGCAGGTGAAAGAATAAGAAAACTAAGAAAGAATAACGCGTCACGATGAGGAGGTATTAAACCAGTGCTCGAATCTCCTGCTGATTTGTGGACAAGCAGCTTGGACACTGAACAAAAAAATCTCTAGCTATATTATTAACGAGAAGAGAGAAAGTTTTGTTGTTACTGATGCCACTTAATCGGCAAAGGCCAGATCCAGACCCACGAAACTCATTACGGCAAAGGGTTAAGAGACGCCTGTGTGTCGTTAGCCGTAACTTTGAGCACCATCCATGTGACAGTACGATTTTCCTCGTTTCCACTCTAATTTTGACGGAGAACACCCTGAGGGTGTTTAAGGGCCTCCGACCTCTCTTTCCCTTCCATCAACCTCACGAGAGGACTTGTGGTTCGACGACTGCCTAGAGTACCCTCCTGCCGTGAAGGCATTTACAAACATTCATTTCCGGGATTCGAACTCAAGCCCTACCGCACAGCACTCCGCTTCACTAACCGCTGTATCAGATGGGTGACAGAGAGAAAGTTCATGCTCAAAAGTGTGACAACCGTGGGGTTGTTAGCATTTGGAGGGACGAACAAAGATCAGCAATAGCAATATAAACACAGTTTTAATACTTTCTTCACTTAATCAACCGACACAATTAAAGTGAGGAAATGTACTCAATATTAAACCCGGAAGAGCAATCCCATAGGCTTAATTCAACGAACATATCAATAAAAGTACTTAACTGTATACTTGAGCACTCTTGACCCTTATGCTTGAGTTCTCTTTAATTATTTTGCTTAACAATACGACCTCCGGTCGTAATCTTCTTCCCAATTCACTCTCAACTTTCCACCGCCAAACTATCAACCATCGACCCTCCTCGCGTCCTCTAATGTCAACGTTAAACTAGAAAAGTACTCATTTGCCTAAATCTCGTATTCTTCACCGAGAAAGGTTTTCAATTGAACTAATTACCCAAGAGTATTAGTGAAAGATTCGCGGATAGACCCGTTACAAAAGAAATCTGAAAAGATTATTTTTATTAATTTTAAAGTTCATGACGTCCCCTTCCCCTTTTCGATATGCTTTAACGATATGCATTCCGATATGAAAATTTACTTGGTATGACACATAAACAATCTGCATGAAATAAAATGCTTATTTTAACACATGATTGACTGTCTTATTTTTGTTAATTTCTTAGGACTAGAACCAATCTTTTTTTTCCCCACAAATGCATCACAGTTTTACTCGAATTTTCTTCCACGCATTCTTCGGGAACGTGTCTAACATATAAAAATAAAAAAAATTATGATTGTGTGATAGAATAATCGGAACATATAATTCCATTTTGGATACATTTTATGAAGTATATATTTTGCTACAAATACACGAATATATTTAATTTATATGCATGAATGAAAGGACTGGACATGAATGAAATTCCCCTTTAAAACGGTTTTTTAAAAATTTTGAACTAAAGGTTGGCGGAATTGTAATTTTGATCCGCCATCAAGTGACAAGAACAATACTCTCCACATCCCTACCCTCCAGGTCTTTGAACCTCTTCAGATTGAATGTACATCAGCCCCTCTACTCGGCAAATCGTTAGTAGCACCAGGACACGAAACCGCAGCTTGACGATTTGAGGCACGAATTTGCACCCAAGATCTCATAAATTCAAGATAAATAATAGCAATGAACCCTTTAGAAAGAACTTTCCTTTCTACAAAAGTAATTAGAAATTCTTATTGACAATCTGGCTGATTATAACAATAGTATAGTCGCCCAGCCAGTGTGTGTGGTGGTTATGACCCTCGGCTTGTAACCGAGTGGTTTCGGGTTCAAATCCCGAATGAGAAATGGTTGTATCTTCTTCGGGAAAGAAGTCGGTCTTTCGCCTGTAATGGATTCCCGACTTGTTATATGCTGGGATCATCATCTGTAATAAAATGTGTATATTCTGTTGTGTTGTATGCTTTCTGTTCTTCTTCACTTGTATTTCATATGTTCCCAGGATAAAAAAACACATGTCAACAACAACATAGCAATAGTATACTGGTTTACCAAAGAAATACTTCTAGAGAGTGTTAAAAAAAATGTTTCATTTTTTAAATAAAGATTTCGTTTTCTTGTAAAATAAACTCTTTTTTTCAATATGATATTAATAACCTATGCTCCAAAATGTCTGAAATTTAAATGTATGTGTGATGATCACTATTTCATAAATCCATTACGTTGCTAAAAAAAAAAAATGAAAAAACTCTTGTACTCAGTCCAACAAGCGAATACAACTTGAGTACTCAAGATGTTTATTTCTGATATATATAAGAAACTTTTTTTCTAGTCTTAACTCTTTCCAGCAATTACTTTATACTTTGTAAAATTTACTAATTTTTTTCTTAACAATGAAGCGCTTTCTGCGACATCTTTTCGCAACTCCAAAATCGTGTCGCACATTTGTTTGTTCCCATTGAAGACGAGTTACTTCAGATGAACTATTGTTAAGTCTTTCTCTCTTCAATGAACTATTATCACGTCAATTTGTCAGTTGTGTGTGTCAGGGACGCCCAATTATACTTTCAGAATATGTATCCCTCATTATTTTTTATCGTAAAACATGGATTCCTCTGTCACCTTAGACATGTCAGCAGTTTGAAGATGAAAAGGACTGGTACGGTTAATAAGCACACAAAACGCTATGACAAATAATAACATCAATACTTTTTTCATCGTTATTTTCACTTGGATATTAAATAGCAATTAAAATTTGACTATTCATAATTTTTATCTTTAACCTAACCGCTTAATGAAAACAAATTCGAAACCCGCAAATGAAATCTTACAACAATTGCTTTTCTAACTGACAAATAATATTTTTGCAGGACATTTATTTTACTGTATTTATTTTTTCTGTTTATGTATTGTGTGTTTCCTCTCTCTCTCTCTCTCATGGATGACTATTTGGTAGCTCTTTGGGTGAACTCTCTCTGGAACCTTCCTAGTAAATAAAAAGTAAACTTATAGTGGTGATGGAGAGATAATTCTTCATCTAGGAACTTCAGGAATTATAACTGGGGTTCAAAACACATACGATACA